AGTAATTGTAATACGTACATGAGCCACAACATGACTCAATGTATTTCTTAAATAATAATGATGTCAGATAGTGATAGTCATTGTAAACAGGAGTCACATTGAAATATGCATTTTGAGAAATGTGTACTAAACTAAAATTACACCCAACTCTCAAACATGACACAGTTAGAGTAAAATCAGAGTCCATATGAACTGCAAATCATAAGACATTTTATTTATTTATTTATTTGAACAATTCTCTATGAATTTGAGAGTTTGTTGTTTGGGTAAATTTTCAGTAGGTCATCAGACTCAGATCAACCTGTCCAGTCTCAACAATCCTGCCACGTTCAAAGTCACTTTCTGTTTGTTCACCAGTGAAGTCATCTTCATGATGTCTAGAGATCTAATTGAAACGAGTTGCTGTCATGTGATTGGCTGACTTGCTATTTGTGTTAACAAGCAATTAAGCAGGTGCACATAATAAAGTGACCTGCGCAGTGTTTTATGGATTCAACTAATGTACAATAATACTGTCTGTCAAACTAAGTACATGAGATGCAAACTGGAAGAAGTTAAATGTACCAAAACATATTTAATATTCAAACCTGAAAAGTTGGATTTTGACCTTGATGCAAGTGAAACTCTTCTGATGTTGAAAGTCGGATGTTCAAGAGCTTTTACTTAAAGCTCAAATAGTTTGACACCCAAGTTCAAATGCAATAAACCAATGCGACAATTAGTCTCTTCTTTTGTTCACTGTCTTTTTCTCCTAAACATTTCTCTGAAACTTTATTGAAATGTCCTCTTTTTTTGCTTTGTTGCAGATATCAATCTTGTGACAGACATAGAAATTGTTATTGTTATCCTGCTGTCACACACAGAAAAATGTTACAGCAAAGCAATAGCTAAGGCAATTGATAGACAGAAACATGCTTCCTCTCCAGAATGCCCCGTTTTCCACATTCTGTATAAGCAGATAGAAATGTTTCCTCATTATCTTCATTGTTGTAGATTTGTTTTGTTTTGTTTGTTTATTTGTTTACTCATCAGTGGTTCCATGAAGATAAAGAGAACAAATACTACACACACTTGATGCATTCCTTAAACAAAACATCAGGGATTTGGAAACAACATGTGATGGATGTTGGGAAAAAAAAACAATAAATCATTTTTGACACAGCTTTATACCAGGACCACAAGATTATTATTGACAACAACTGAAGTGTTCATTTGGGTATCCACAAGTACTCAAAATAAATGGCTTGCACTTGTATGTGGCACAACGTAAGCACTTCCTCATTTAGCTTCTGTGTTTGGCATTTAGTTAATTGTACATGGAGCTCAGTTGAAGGCGGTGTAATATAAATAGCAAGAGTTGTCGCAGGGCTCATTATGGAGTCGGTGTTACTTAGAGTTGCTTCGTATATTGGTTCTGAAAGAGAACTAACCCACGAGATGTGACTCTAAATTAATCGTTGGACAGAATCCTGTTGTATAACCACACCATTACCATCCTCTTAACCACATCACCTCGCACTCATCATCCAGACACGGATCCTTTCTAACTGCTGACATCAATTGAGAAATGCTTTCGACTCAGCATGCAATGTGTGGCGCCTTCATTTGCAGCTCTGCACCGCGCACTGTGCCTATAAAAGCTGATAATGTGATAATTAAAAAAGCTGACAGGCAAGAACTGTCAGCCAGGCTCCCTGATTTACCAACCTCTGCTATTTGTTATACCTTCCAAATTACAATGCTTCAAGTACAACATGTGAAATATCAAATGCAATAATTAAGCAAAGCTGGAGGTGTGATTAAAAAAAAGAAAGTTAAATGAAGAAGTCTCTGTGGATGACAGCTTGATAAAATCTGTCCGTAAAGCATCACCGGATCAGATTCGGAGCTGAGACGAGGATTTTAGCAGACAAAAGATCACAGTCCTGTCGCTTTCTCTCTTCCTCTCTCAACCACACCATGATTTATTACCTGAAAAGACAAGAGAACTAATTAGTGGAGTAATTAATTAATATAAATTTGCATATTTGCATTTGCAATTAGTGCAGTCAACTGATTAGTCTGAGATGGGGAGTTTGACTCTTCAGCATGTATCCGTGTGTGTGTGTGTGTGTGTGTGTGCGTGTGTGTGCGTGTGTGTGTGTGTGTGTGTGGTGTGTGTGTGTGTGTGTGTGTGTGTGTGTGTGTGTGTGTGTGTGTGTGTGTGTGTGTGTGGTGGACCAGAACGACCAGCAGACCATCTGAAACATTTTGTTAGGGCGGAGGGGGGGCAGTGAGGTGGAAATGAAGAGACACTTTTTGGCCATTTTTGCTTTGGCTTTTAATTTTTACTTTTTTATTTTTTTTTATAGAGCCACATGTGCAGTTAACGTGTTTAGACACAACCGTCTACATGCATGCATTAGGTGAAACGTTGCAACATTCACCATGTTCCGTGCATGCCCTAATTGTTGAAGGTGCCCTGAACTCACACCAGCCACCTTTCTGCAGCCTCACTCATACTTGTGATCGATGCCCTGCGATAACCAATACAAGAGAGACTGATAAGTTGCTTTAATTGATTCTCCTTGCAGCAAGGTCATTCACAGGCACACATTTCCGCATGCAATTGTGTATGTGAGTGTTCCACATAACTGAGGAGTGCATATACCCATATCGAGTGCCAGCTGTGCCCCAGCGAGGATTTGGCAGCGTGCCATTGTGTCTTTTTCCACTGGGTGTGCTTAATGGCTATAATGGTAAGGAACCAACACCGTGCACGCTCCTCCGTCATGTTCACACCATCCTATGCCTGTAAAGTATATCTGCTGAATTTTCTTAATCACTTGTTCAAAAAGCTGAAAAAAAAATTAAGACAGAAAACGAACTTGCTTTTGAGACATTTTAAAGGCAATTTCAACAAAAGTAGTTTTGCTGGAAAATGTGTGTTTCACTTTTTTTTGGAACATGGAAGATGTAATTTGAAAAAAAAAGGTAATTTATAGAAATACTTTAGATTTAACTCTGTTTTTTTTTAGATTTATTGTTTCTATAAGACAATTTTAATGGATTGGATGGAAAGAAGAAAAAAAAATTCTTCTTTCCATCATCTACAATTGAAGATAAAACAGACAAAACATTATGACCACCGACAGGAGATGTGGTCGATGCTGATGATATCTTTATTTGGACTTTATTTATTAGGATTTGGGATATTAGGCATCAAATTAACATTTTGTCATGCAAGATGATGGAAGTTAAAGCAGATAAAAGAAGAAGAAATGGGCAAGTGTTTGGATTTTAACATGACACTGACGCCCATTTCTTTAATAGCTGGTCACTAAAATGAAGGAAGATCTCTCCATCTTCTCACCATGCAGCCTGGGAAAGATGGTAAAGAAAATTTCCATAGCTTTTTACTGAAAAACTAAGAATGAAATCTTCAGATCAGCAACTGCTTATGGTAGATAAATGTTGACCATTTGACTGATAGAGTCAAAGAGTGTTAAATTCAAAAAGTTCTGATATTTTGAAGAGTTTATGTTGCCATATTCTCTACCAAACTATCTGGAACATAAGGAAGAGAATGAGCCCTTCGGTTGCATGCTTATCTCTAGGTATGAAATACTTTTTAACATCCTTTGTTTCAAGTCAAACCCAACTAGAGCGATCGTAGTCGAAAAGCTACATTTTAGACTCATTCATTTAATTTTACATTCATTAAAAAATGCCAGTCAAGATTATCAAACTCTGCATACTGAAAATGTCTGATATCAGACTGAAGTTTTTGCCTTCTCTTCCTTGAAGGATTGTTTTAATTCCACCATATTACAGGTCATGCCAATACATCTCATCTACTATGCCACAACAAAATATTCTTTCTTTCAGCCAGATTGAGCATGACACTCACCTTCTGGTCCCACTTTTGTACAGCCAGCACACATAAAACTGTCCTATCACAATGTCTCTTGATGAATCTAAGCAAGATTTGGATGTTCTTTCTGGTCAGCGGACTTTACCAGCAGGAATCTCTCCTTTGCATGCAATTTTTGCGACTATTTGTCTCTTTCTTCTTGCTAAATTATGAACTTTGACACAAACAGATCTGTTAGGCGTTAGATGATAGTCTGGCTTCGTTTGTGACCTCTTGGATGACCTCTTGCAGTAATTTTGGAAGTGCAGCCAATCAAACCTGTTCCATGTTTCGTCAATTGTGTAAAATGGCTCTCTTGGTAGATTACTGGAGTCAGTCTTAGAGATGACCTTGCTGCAGTTTTAAGACTATATGCCAAGAACTGTATTTCTTATCTGAATGGTGTAAAGTTTCTTCAGCTCTTTTAGCCTACTTTATGTTGCTAGACAGGTCCTGGTTTTGGCTAATGAAACCAAACTAAAAATGTGGTTAACTACAGCTAATTGATTATTTAAATTGAGAAGCATCTATATTTTTGAATATGGACAGTATAATAATCTATCTATCTATCTATCTATCTATCTATCTATCTATCTATCTATCTATCTATCTATCTATCTATCTATCTATCTATCTATCTATCTATCTATCTATCTATCTATCTATCTATCTATCTATCTATCTATCTATCTATCTATCATGATTTTTCATTTCACCAATCAACAGAAGACTTCTGAAACTAAACATTTCTATAAAACATTTATCTTTACTTGTTAGAATGCCTGTAAGCCCTTGCGCATTCCATCTTTTTGTAGACTAAATAAATAAAATAAATAAATAAATAAATAAGGTTCCTTCTTAATACAGCGAGTGAGAAGCAGGTATTAGTCGTTATCCCTCTCCGGTCTGTGTTTTTGACGGTAAACGTGGGCCTCCCGGTGCCTTTTTAACGGAGCTGCCAGATGATCGGTGCGGAGTGGAGGGTCCCACGGGACGCTGAACACGTGGTCTCGGCTGCCACAAGACGTCAGCGGCAGATGGCATGGGTACCCGGCGTTGGCATGAGTGTCATTCCTCAAAGAGAGAGGAAAGGAAGGGGGAGAGCGGATCGCAGCGAGGAGGAGAAAGGAGGGTTTGAGCTCTGGCTGCTTTAATTGTGCAGTTTTGCACACAAAAAAAACAACAACAAAAAAAAAAAGGCTGCAGCGGAGATTCAGAGGCGATAATTGGGACCATGAGGACAAGTACATGCTGACCAGAGGTGAGTATGATTTTTTTTGTGTATGTGTGTGTTTTATTAATATTTCTTTTTAATGTAAATAGTTCATTAATTTTTAGGCTGAATTTGAAGAAAGAGAACACGGGGCTGGACTTTGTAAAACTGTCCAAAAAATATGCAGTAAAAATGTTTCAGATCATTGTGAATTGAGTGTCTTTGAAAAGACATCAGTCACATCGGCCTCGCTTGCCAAATTTGTTCCTCTTCCTCCTGGGAGGACTCATTCACAGGGTAATTAACTGACAACCTTCAAAAGACGTCGGCGCTGAATTTTGCTCTTACAATTTACGTCTCCACTTTCTTTCTTTTTTTTTTTTTTTCCTGCAGGAGATATGTTGACGCTGCCATTCGAGGACCCTCATATGATGTGCGAGCCGCGCTTTGGTGCCAACTATCCCCGCGAAAGCCTGCCTGACAGCCTGCAACAGCAGGAGCGACAACAGCGCCCCGCAGCCAGATCCGACCCGGAGATGATGAGGGAGGCCGAGGACGACCTTTCCGACAGAGAGGAAGACGAGAGAGAGGACGACCAGGACGAGAACGGGCTACAGAAGAAACGGGGGCCGCGGAAAAAGAGGCCCGGCAAGGAGCAGGTGGACAGGGCCAAACTCCGGCGCCAGGAAGCCAACGCCCGGGAGCGCAGCCGGATGCACGGCTTGAACGCCGCGCTGGAGAGTCTGCGCAAAGTTGTGCCGTGCTATTCGAAAACTCAGAAACTGTCCAAGATCGAGACGCTAAGACTGGCAAAGAATTACATCTGGGCCCTATCAGAGACCCTGAGCGCGGGGAAGAGACCGGACCTCCTCGCTTTTGTGCAAACTTTGTGCAAAGGATTATCTCAGCCAACCACCAACTTGGTGGCGGGCTGTTTGCAGCTGAATGCCAGAAATTTCCTCACGGATCACAATGGAGAGGTGATGTTTTCTGGCAGGTCGCCTTACGAAGCTATGTACTCGTACACCAGCTCGGACATGAACTCGCCTCCGGGCCACAGCGGCGGCGCGCTGGACTCCGGCTCCAAGCCTTTCCGACACTACAGCTACAGCAGCGCCTACGAAACTTACTTCGAGAACCCGTCCCCGGACAGTGGGAGCCCGCATTTCGACGGCCAGCTGAGCCCCCCGATGAACTTCAATGGAATTTTTTCCCTAAAACACGACGACCCGCAAGATTATGGGAAAAGCAGCCACTATGGCGTGCGCTATTGTGGCGCGCCAGGGCGCTCGGCCCTCGCACCGAACTCAATGTACCGAGTCTCCCCAGAGGCCCGTTTCCCCTACGACCTGCACGTCCGCAGCCAGTCCTTCCAGACGCAGGGGGAGGTCAATGGCTCTTACCACAACTGATTCATCACATGGGACAAAGTGCAAACTTAAGATGCAAATTTCTCTGCACAAAAGTAAAAAGTGAAAGAAAGAAAAAAAAAAACTCAGATGTTGATGCACATTTTGGGGTTTAAAGTTACTTCTTTACGGTAAAAGCAACAGTTTGGATGTTATTTTACTTAATGTTGAGTGACTATTATCTTAAATACTTTAGATTCGAGTTTTTTAAAAGGGGAAAAAAGTTAATAAATTGGTGCTACATGTTTGTTTCCAAACAAGTCAAATTTAAGACGAAACACAAACTTGTTTACTTTTTATTTATTTATTTATTTATTTACTTAATTTGTCTCTTTTTTTTCTTACAGTTGCAGCGTAGTGTTTCCATTTCTTTTCTTCAAGGAAGTACAGCAAATGTTGGTAATCATACACTTTTTGGATATAGCTGATAACACCCAACATAGTTTGTTTTATATATATATATATATATATATATATATATATATATATATATATATATATATATATATATATATATATATATATATATATAAAGACTTAAATGAAAGGGGGGAGAAAAGAGCTAAATTGATTTGAGTTGATCAGGGAACATGACTCAGACATGTTCAGAGAATCTGTGTTTTCAACAAAACTTCAATTGAGCTATGCAATCTTGCCAAATGCAATCAGTGCTTATTGGAAATGTATTCTTACAAACACAACAGATAATGTAGGACTTTAAATAGGTCGACTGAAGGACAAGGAGGTAAAAGTAAAGACGGAAAATGTCCCATTTAAATTCATTCCTAAATGTCGGATGGTTTTTACAGTACCGAACTGAATGTACTTTTTTCCCATTATTTATTTGCTTTTTTTGGGTAATTTTTATTTTAAGTCCGTTTTGTTTGATTGTGAATAATATATATTTAAAAAAATAATGTAAAACCACAATGTAAAGTTTTATGGGAATTTCAAGTTCGTTTACATTGACTTGTAAAAATTTCACTGCAGCTGATAGGGAGAAAAAAATCACATTCGTATTCAGCTGGAATAAAATGTAAAATGCCTTAAAATGGGGGAGGAAATGATAAAGGCAGCGGCCATTAGTGAACCACAAAGGGGAAGTTTTTGGTTGCTTGATGTGAACTTTTCTTTCCCGTGGAGCGACTGTGACGCACTCCGTGTATTTCTGCACAATGTTGGTGACCGTGCTCATAAATCCTGTTGATTTTTGTAATCGGATACCGAATGCTTGGATGATGAATCTAATTTATTTCCTCAAACGAACACACACACACACGCGCGCGCGCGCACACACACACACACACACGCACACACACGCACACACACACACACACACACACACACACAAACTCCTCACACTTACGCGCACTTCTGGAAACCCGTTATGGATCGAATTATTCGTGAAGTAATGTGTTAATGTTTTGTGATGTGTTTTGTCGCAATAAAAATAAATAAATTATAAAAAAAAATAATAAAGGAATAAATTAAAGAAGAGGATGTGGGAGGCTTTATGTTGTGGCCCAGATTCTCAGCTTTCTGTGGCAATGATCGACAGCAGATGGCAATTAAGAAAAAAGAAAAAAATTATAACAATAGTAGCTGGAAAATATATTAAGAAAAAAAATCCCATTACTTTTATTTAATATTTATTAATACCACTCAGAATGTGGCAGCGCAGGCCCATAAGATTTGCACTTTGAATTTTTTCTTTTTTTTTATCCATCCGCTAAACCGCTCGAATTTACGCAGCTTTTAGACACTTTGCGTAAATATAAGTTGGCATTCATTATTCTTTTTAGGATATTTTTCTTTCCTCTCTTTTCTTTCTTTTTATTTGTCGCTAATTTGACTGACTTCCAGCTGATCAGATGGCTGATTTGTGTCAGAAGCGCCCAGGAGGTGTTGGATGTCATCCAGACTGCGGCTCATGGCGGTTGGTTGATCCTCCCAGTTTTTGGAACCGAGTGGGTTTGATAATCCCCGGAGGCGACAACATTACTGCTGTAAAAGACACAGGCGATCTATTCGAGAACAGAGAGCGATCGGCGGTCTGTCCTGTCTGCTGCTTGTTCTGCTCTTTTCGTGTTTGGAGTGCGTTGCTCTTTCTGGGTGGTTTAACTCATCGTCTCGGAGTGCTTCGATAAGGCCGTTTTCAGGGACTATTAAGGGATAATAATCTAACTAAAGTGCCGATGACAATCACTTTGTTTAATGTTACATCGCAAACATTGTTCTGAAATGAAAGATTGCTGAATACTCATAACTTTATGACCCCCGAAACTTTCCTCGTCATATAATGGAGTTTTGTTCAACATTCTTTCAACTAACAGCAAACGCACCACTGATACTACTTTGTTAAACTGTAGAACAAATGTAACTTCTTTTTTTTTTTTTTTTACATTTTGTCATATTTCAGCTACAAACCCAAACTTTTAATGGATTTTATGAAACAATCCAATGCATAACTGCAAAGTTAAGGTTGCATGCAAGTTTTTTAAAATGAAAGTCTAACAGTTGTAGTGTGCATTTCTATTCAGCCCTACTTTTTGTTCAGCACTCCTAAAAAAATTCTAGCATCCAATTGTCTTTATAAGACACTTAATTAGTAAATAGAGCCCAAGTGTGTGCAGTTTAGTCTTAGAGAGAGAAAAAAAAAACTGCTGTTCTGTGTTCTCGTGAACAAACAGCATCATGAAGACCAAGAAACCCAGAGGACAGGTCAGAGAGGAGGTGAGGAGTTTAAGGTCAGGTTATAAAATATTTTCAACTTTTATTGCCTAAAGACAGTCACTCTAAACTGACAGGTTGGACAAGGGAAGTATCCTTCAGAGAACATCCCAAGATGCTCCAGTCAGATGGAAAATATTAAATGCTGTGTTAGGAGGAAAACTAACAATGCATGTCCCTCTGAACACATCATTCCCACTATGAGAATGACTTTCTTTAACAATGACAGTTCAACCTGTTAGGAAACCTGTCGAGCTTGAGATGTGAGTTCACCTTCCAGCAGGACAACAACCCAAAATTATGTCAAGGCTCCTTCTGAGCAGATTATTTGTAACCATATTCATGTGAATATGGAATGGCCCAGTCAAAGTCCAGACTTTAATGGAATTTAGAATCCTTGTGGAGGCTTCAAGGTCATGAGATGCTTTTTGGGCCCATATATCCAATCCAAGTCATGTACTGTCACTGAGATATTGCTTATTCTTCCACGTCACAATTATGCACTCAGGTCGGACGTTATAATGAGGTGAAACGTTAAAAAGCTCATTGGGGTACCAAAACTGAAATTCCTCTTCAGTTAAATAGACAAAATAATATCAGAGATAATATCTAACCCTGCCAGTTAATTTTGTTGCTTTAACACCTGGGATCACACTTGTGCCTGAGTGCAGAGACACTTTATAAACACAAACATCCTTATATTGTGCTCCTGGAATCCTGCTGAATCCTTTAAGCAAGTGTAACGGTCCAAACAAAGTCAGAAACTGAGAAAATTCAAATTCAGAAAATGTATTTATTTTTCAATTAGTAACATTTTCAGGTTTTACTTGCAGTCTTTTGTTTGAAAAATGTATTAATCTGTTGAGATCAGCCTCATCCAATGCAGTTCAATATATTTATTTAGCACAGATTCACAGCAAATGTCTCCAGGCACCAGACGAAAAACAAACAAAAGAAAAACAGAACAAATGTACAGAAGTAAATCGTCAATTTGAATGAAATACAGTTATAACCTATGAGTCAGGAGTAAAAGCTATGCCATAAAAAAAGCAGAGGAAATAAAATCAGTCAGAATACCTCATTCAACTGCTTTGTCTAAGACTAAAACAGGATTCAACACAGAACAAAAAGAACATGAAGTTATTGGTAACATTTCCCTCCCAAATGACTGTGTAACTTTTATGGGAAAAAAAGAAAGTAAGAAAAAACCGAGCACAAACATAACTGCAGATAATACAATATTAGGGAGTAAAGGAAAATAGCAAAGTGATGAAATTGGTCATTCTGTCTTTCAGCAATCTATCCCAGCATGACTGTAATAGCTCAGAAATCCAGGTCCATGTAACTCCAAGATTTGCATTAAAAAAGGAAAAGAAGGAAAAGTTTTAAAAGTAAACAGGGTATTTGGTTCACAGTCAAAATCTGGGATCTGGTTTCACAGGTCTGTGGCGGGGCAACACAGAAACAAACAACCAAGCACACACATACTCACACCTAGGGAGAATTTGGAAAGACCAATTAACCTGTCATGTTTTTGGACTGTGGGAGAAAGTCGGAGTACCCGGAGAGAACCCACGCATGCACAGGGAGAACATGCAAACTCCGTGCAGAAAGACCCCGGGCCGGGAATCGAACCCGGGACCTTCTTGCTGCAAGGCAACAGCCGATTTCACTCACATTCATATTGCAGACAGGAAATCCCACAGAATCTCGCGATATCACGCGTGAATTTAGCGTGAAGAAACATGGCAGGCGAGCGATTGCGATAGTTTGTTCTCATTTTAAGCGGGAAAAATGTAACAAAAAGAAAACGGATAAAGGATTGGAGAGAGTGCGAGCAGCTGCAGCTGCACTATGACTTGGAGGTGAGTTGTTCTGTTTTTGTCTCGTCTTTAACCTTCAAGTGTTACTGTGTTCATTTTAGGTTTTTGTTGTATTAATATTATAAAATATGTGCATGCATTTGGATAGTAATCCCTGACTGAATGCATAAACTTCTAGTGACCAGTTTATGCCAAGTTAAAGATGGACAGCTGGAAAGTTACTGTGTACATCAATTACGGCAACAATTTCAGTTCTTGTCCAACACAAAATAAATAAACATTCACACTGGATATGATATGTCAATGTGAACTTCTTCGTTTTGGGTTCCCTTCTGTGCTGAGGTCACCACGCTTTCTGATTGGCTACCTATCACAATCAACAGGCTGCGTTCTCATAATAGAAATGAGGGCGTCATCCCAATTAAAGGGGCGTTTAAAGAAATTCAAAAATTGGCATAAAATCAAAAATTGGCATAATATCCTACGGTGTGAAATAAACATAACATTTTTTTTTCAATTGAGAAAGTTTAACT